TTTTTTTTTTTAGGATAAATTAAAACTAAAATATAAGACTTGCAAGTAGAATTGTCGCAATATATGTATAAATACAAACACCATATTTTTTACACATAGATTTTAATTTATAAAGCTTTTTAAAAAACAAGAACAATTCATTATATAATGAATTGCATAGGTTGTATAGGTTTTTAGGGTTGGCCAATTCTAGAAAAACAAACATGAATGGTTGATTATTTACAGTATGTGCCAAAAAAGAAAACGCACAAACTAAAAGAAAATTGACTCATCTTCATGTATTAACATAGATCTATTTTGCCATGTAACTAACAATGTCTGCCATCTGCCAAGAAGCTATAGGACTGTTGCAGAATAAAATTAGTTTTAATTCTAAAAGCTCTATTAAAAACATTTTTTTTTTATGTAGGACCTAAATACAAACAGAGGAAACTAACACATGACCACAAAACACACAGTGAAACTCAATAACTGGTACAACATCAAAAATAGGAAGTGAATAAAACAAAGTGAGGAACAAGACAAACAAAATAAAACAGAAACTTCAGGACTAGTAAGATAAATGAACTAAAACAGACGTGGAGCTCAGCATGAACAGTAATTCATTTAAAAATCTCAGAGTAACCTGTGAGTTTAAATGCTGAAAACACCAATGAAGTCTTTTCCTTGGATTATAGAGAAGACTGTGAACTAATTATCACTGTTTGGTCAAAAATACACTGAATATTTGGTATGGAGTTTCAATGAGAAACAAACGTCTTCGTTGAATTACAATGATTTTCCAGTGGTATGAATAATTTTGGGCTTGGTTATAATAAATAGAGGAAAAACAACATAAGCTTGATCAGCTCTGAAGCAGACGATGCGTTCAGGAGCAGTCAGTAATCTGGGCAGAGTTCTGAACTTCTCCGTTTGGTTTCAGCTCGGCCTGCAAAGGAAAGTAGAACAGGAACTCAGAAAATACGGGACTCTGAAATCATAAAGACCTGAAGGTTTATGTTGAGGCAAAATGTATTAAAAAACAATTGTCAGTGCTGTTGCTTCATTAAACATGACTGACAGACCTGAAACAGTCATTGACCTGGATGTTCTCCTTCAGGTTTTTCTGTCCCACAGTAAGACTCATTGGTTCTAATATTTATATTAATTCATTTCAGATTCTAAAGCAGCAAAGCAGCCCAGATCATCACACAGCCATCACCATGCTTGGCTATATGAAGCTCCTCTTCTGAAATGCTTAGATGTAACATGATTCATGATTCCCATGTTTCCATATCTCTATTTTTTTATTGCTGAATCATGACCTCTGACCTTAACCGAGTCTGGGGAGCTTTAAATGTTATTTTGGTTTATTTTATGACCTCCTGTTTTGATCATCAGAGCACTCTTGGAATGGTAAAAGTTAAACGATAAGTAGCGATAGTTGTTCCAACACATAATTTATCAACATTTATCTCATTATTCACATCATATCTGCTGTTGAACAGCTGCGGATGTTGTAATTACTGTTAGAAAAGTCTAGATTTATTGCATCATTAATGTTTTAATGCCTCCTTACCTCGAGCCCAGCTTCTGTATATGATTATGCACATAATGAAGATGATGGTGTAGATGATGAACAGCACGATGGTGATCAATATCATCAGAGAAGTAGAAGGAATAAGAGGCGGATCGGTGCTTTTGGGAGGTTTAGCTTTAAACACAGAGAGATACGAGACATAATTTACAAAAAATGTCAGCGTGACTTATTAATGCTGTACCACATAAATTGTGATAAACAGACATTTTAATAGAGCCTAAATTAAATTAATTTTAACATAGAAATAAGGAATAATGTGCTATATCTCTGAACACTAGATGGTGCTTTCAAAGTGGCTATGTATTGAAAATGCATCGATAGGCATTAGTGGTATACATACATCCTCTTGTCTGCGTGATACTTTTTTTTTTTTGCAAATTTACAACTTTAGTCAACAGGGGCTTATATTTGAAGGTGTGGCGTGTAAATATGTTCATCCTCCTGAGTGATGAGCTGCAGCAGACAGTTACCCTGGACTTCCAGCCAGCTGTCCAGTGACTCTCCTCTGCTGGGATGTTTGCACTTGTAGAAGCCTTTGCTGGACATCGACACATTGTGTAGGATCATCTTTCCTTCAGGTTCCGTTCCAATAAATGTATTATTTAGGTAGAAGGTAGCAGAGAAATGTGATGAAGATGTCGGATCATATCTTTCTTTGAAGGAGCAGCGAAGTGTGACATCATCTCCCACCGTCACAGGAAGTGCTGGACTCTCCAAGATCACAACACCGGCTGAAATGTTTAATTTAAATCAGTGCTTTTTCAAAAGTACAATACTTAAAGAATAAAACGAAACATGAGCTCACTGTTTATTGTGATGTTGAGGACGTTGCTGCACTCTCCTTGCTCAGACTGGCACCAGTAAAGTCCAGTGTCTGACTTGTAGACACTGTGGTTAATGCAGGAGGAACCGTTCGGACGGCCCCAGTCTTCACATGGAGTAAAAGGTTTGGAGGCATTTCTCACCACCCTCCAGCCGCTGAAGTTTCCTGACACTGAACAGCTCAGAGTGAAGGCTTCATAACGGAAGAACTGACTTCTGTCAGGCTGAATGCTCAGTGTGGCAGCTGCTCAGACAGGAAACAACAGAGAAGCAGCTGTGGGTTTGGTATATATTGCTAGCCTGTGGTGTTTCAAAGGCCAAAATGAAAATCTAGGTCATCTAAATTCTCAAAACAAAATTCTTACATAGTTCTTGGGAGGCCCAACCCTTTTCTGATGCTGCGCTGGGAAACAGCTGGTTTAGTCATTAACAAAAACAGCCAATATGAACATTTTCAAAGCATATTAAGGAAAGAGTTTTTCTGTCTCGAACCAAACATGTCTGAAGATTCTCCATTTTTTAGGTTTTTATATTGAGGAAGGTTTTAAGGATGTTATTTTTATTTTAAGTGTTAATTTAGAATTGCCCCTCTCCATCCATTTCTATGGAGCTCCTGTGATGAAGCGACAGTCGACTGCCTTTATCCAGCTGAGTGATCAGCGTAATTCATGCATGTGAAGCTTTCAGCTCATATCCAGATGTGCATACAGGCTGGCAACACAACACAAGAAAACTGAGAAATGTTCAGATTTTGTTTCTGTCTGGTGTCACAGAGAAGTTTCACCTTCTGCAGTCTTTCATGTGTCCCTGTTGTGTTGAGTTCATAATGTCCTGCTGTGAACTAGAGGTTTGGTCTGAGAAAAAATATGTGTTTGTGTCTTTTTATTCAGTTTATCTAAATTTGGTTTCAGTTGTACAGTCTGTGTTGTTAAATGTGCAGAAGAACTTTTTTCTGTAATTTTTAAAGATACAGATCTGTATTAGAAACTGTAAACCATGAGTTTCTTTACTTAGTCAAGATTAGCCACTAGTGGTCTCTGTGCAGACCACAATAAGAAACATGTAAGAAGCTATACAAAGGGAGGAAATCTTGATTAAGGTGTTCAAAGTAAAAAAAGAAAGGTATTCTCACCAACAACCAGGCATACAGATCCGAACTCCATTTTCAGACCAGCTCTCAACGTAGAATGGCTTCCGTATTTTTAAAAGCTGAAGCCTCTCTGCCCACATCCTGCTCAGACTCAGGTTTTAGATCTCCAATGAAGGCACACTATCACAACTTCACAATTAAGTTTTTTATGTTAAACAATGTACAGTGTATGAGACGTATGTCTTCATGAAGCTGTGCAAATTATTTTCTACAAAGAACTGCTGATTATAAAGCACAACAGTTTCCAGCTGAAGTGGCTGATAGAGTCAAAAACAACTTTTTCTGAATGACTGTTTAAAATCTGTTGCTACAGAAGAAGATGGAGGACAAATGGTGACAAGACTGACTGATATCTGCTCTGAAGAAGGATTCAAGCTTTCAAACTGGGTCAGCAGTCACAGTCCTCATGTTGATCCCAGAAGAAAGGAGAGCAAAGAAATCAAGGATGTGGATTTGGACTCAGATCAATTTCCACTTGAGAGAGTACTTGGTTTATAGTGGTACAGATAAACAGATAAAGCATTGATCATATTTCTGATGCAAGTCAAGATGGCTACAGAACAGTATTCTATTTAAAAAAGGAAAATAATAACTTACATGTTACTTTCATCCTAGGAAAGTCTAGAGTTGCCCCTCCTAAGAAAACTACAATCCCCAGACTGGAACTGACTGCTGCAGTTTGCAATCCAAGTGAACAAACTGCTGCAAAAAGAGCTGCAAATAAAGATGGAAAAACATGTTTTCTGGACTGATAGTACAACAATACGAAAATACATCTAAAACCAGAAGATTTCACATCTTTATTGCAAACAGAATTTCTGTCATTTGAGAAGCAACACATGTGAATCAGTAGAGAGATATTTACTCCATGGAGAAACCTGCAGATTATGCTTGAGAGCTGAGACTTCCTGAAAAGCAGGAGATGATAAATGGACCAGCAGGAGATGATAAGCTTTTAAAGCTTAAAACTGTGTGACTAGACTGTTAATTATTTTCTGCAGCAGAGGGCGCACTGTTGCAGCTGGTGAATCGTCTCTTTGTATGGCAGGTTGTTATAACATAACATCGGTTTCACCGCACTTACATTCCAGATATCTGAAATTGGTTTACGAGTAAATTGAGATATTTCTTATTATATTTTGACCAGGCAAAAAACCTATGTGAGCTGCCTCTAGTTCCATTCTAAATAGTATAAATGATGTCAGATTTATCATTTGGTTGCAGAGAGACTTAATTTAATATAACTGACGGTTTGAATGAAATACATATTTCATATTTTTACAATTAACTGACTAGTCAAAGTAAATTTGATAAATCTCGCTTTTTGTTCTGAGTCATAATTCTGTTTAGAGATACTTTACTTTTAAGATATTTAACTTTAAAGATATCTGCTCTTTTAGGTTTTCAAAACCATTTTTAATTGTGTTTGTCAGACACAAAAAGGAAATTCTTTGCAGATTTCTGAAGCAGTCTTTAAGTCTATGAAGTTTTGTGTTCTCCGTATATCCCACATTGCTGAGTTTTTCTATATTGTGACATTTTCTGACAATTTAGGGCAGGACATCCAAACTTCTGCATGCAACTGTTTCGACAGCTCAGTGGCAGCACTGAGCTGACCCCACTAAGGGATAAGGGTGTTAGGAAATGGATGGATGAACATAATTATGACTAGTCAAATTTATAATTTTAGAAATCTGAATTAAGAACGACATGGAAGCCCTTTTGTGGTGTCCAAACAGTTTCCTGCACAAAGTTGTCAGTAAATGCCACAAATTAGAAAGAGCTCGACAAAAGTTCACAAACTATAAGATTGCTTCTGACATCTGCAAATAATTTCCTGTTTATTCATTTCCAACGAACCGAATGTACTTGAAAACAGCTTTGAAAAGCTAAAATTGCTATTGTCAAACCAATTTCAACATGAAAGTGATGCATTTTCAAACATCTTTTTTAGTTTTTTTTTCTGTTTTTCATTGTTTTAATAAACTTTCAAATTTCTATTTAAGTCAGGGACATTTTTCTATACCAAATACATTCAAGATATCAGTAATGTCATTCTGACTACTCAGAATGTTAATTTAAGATATCTTCAAATAAAAACGCTGTGCAATTCAAGATATCTATAATTCATTTGGAGATGTCAGAAAATGAATTTTTGAGTAGTCGGAATTACAATTCAAGATATCTTTAGTTTAGTTCTTTCTAGTCATTATTTGCTTTTAAGATATCTATAATTTAAATTTCGCTAGTCAAAACTACATATCTTGTGAGGATTTGAGTTTTCCTGTGTATTCATTTAGGTTTCTGTGTTCAGTTGGGTCTCTGTGTTGTCCTGTCTACCCTTTGATTGCTCCCAGCTGTGTCTTGTTTTCCCTGATTATCTCCTTGTGTATTTAGTCCCACCTATGTTCCTTGCAGAGTCCTCCTCTTGTCTGGTGTTACCTGTTTCTTTCATTTTGACACCAGTTGCAACCAGAGATTAGCTCCTAGTTTTTTGCTCACTCTGTGCTGCCTGGCTTCTTGTGTTTTTCATCATTACATTGTCATTTACTCTACATACCCAGGTCCACTGCGTTTACCTCACCACCTCAATTTATGACAGATCTCCTGTCCAAAAATGCATTTAAGATATATTGAGTTGATTTAATTTAATTAGTATTATGACTAGTCAAAACTAAAATTGAGACATCTTGAATTTACTTTGTGACTAGTCATAATTTAATTGTATACATCTGAAAAGTGTATTTCAGATAGAGTAATTCATTTAAGATATCTTGAAATTAAGTCTCCGACTAGTCATAATGTAAATAGAGATATCTTAAGTTACTAAAATGTCTAGTCAAACAATTTGAAATATCTGGAATCTAAGGGCGGTAAACCGAATTTATGCTAAAATGGCCTGCCATAAAGGTGTAACCCNAGCTCTGAGATCAGTCTGACTGCAGCCTGGAAACCACTGGAAACTCTGGTTTCACAAACCATCATTCATTTAGTCAGCAGCTGCTCTTCCTGCTCCAGTCCAGTCCTCACATGTGGACATGTGTCCTCCCGTCCTCAGTCTCATCCAGATGTGTTCAGGGACAGACAGCCTCCATGCTGCTCAGTCAGCTGATGTCCAGCAGCAGATGTTTGTTCATCAGCAGCAGTTTGTGTCTAAATGCAGCAGCAGCAAATCCATCCCTCCAGTGTTGGAGCAGCAGTGAACCTTCAGGCTCTCAGCAGTTTGTTTCCACTGTGGACTTGAGTGGAACCTGCAGAGGAAGCAGACTGGATGCTGAAAGTGTGTGTAGGTGTGTGAGCTTGGAGCTCAGTGTGTTCACTGCAACACGTTAAGATGAGAGCAGAGAGGAAGCTGCTCTGAACACGACTGAAGGCCCTGCTGCTCTTTCTACTGGATGTGCTGCGTCACTGACTGCTGCTGCTGGAGAGAAGCTGGAAACTCACTGATCTGATCTCTGATTCTTTCTTCTCTCTGCAGGTGGTGGAGATGGTGATCTCTGCGAAGAAGAGAATTGTCTCCGTTTCCTGCTGATCCTCAGAAGCTGCAGCAGTTTGAGTCTAAAGAGACTCTGACTGGATCATGATGACCTTTGACCTGAATGGTTTCCATCCTGTTTATTTCCTCCTGTCTGTCATTTTGTATCTGATGTTTTTCTGTTTGGATGGATGAAGATGAAATTGTAACTCGGCTCCATTTCGAGGCTTCATGGAGTTTTGATCTGAACTTGGTTCAGTTTTTAAAGTTGATCATTTTTCTCTGATTCATTTTCATCCTGAAATATGAACCATGTTTCAGTTCAGCCGTTTCCAGGCTGCATGTTGCTTCATTTGGATCCAGTTTCTGATGTTTGTGCAGCTCTGGTCTTTCTATCTGCTGCTGGAAACGACTCAGTGAGGAAATGATGCAATCAAACTGTTACTGATGATTTTAAATCTAATATTTTCATTTCCTGGTATTTTCTGCTGAGTTTTCATTACCCAATTCATGTTTGCATAATCAGAATATAATAATTTTACCTTTTTGAATTCTGTAATGAAAAATTCACTAAACGTATAAAAAAATCTATTAACTAGTAAAAACTAGCAAACACTTTAGAAACAAATGAAAACTGAATTGAACAAAACTAAACTAAATTTAAAGCCCAAAACTTTTATAACTCTGGTTGAAACTTTATGTTTCAATAATTATAAATATCCAGAGGATTTTTCACAAAACCAGGATCTTGGATTAAGCCATAATTCTCCAGATATTCTGGTTTAATTAAACCTCGATTCGGTTTCACAACAGAGGAACCGCTACGTTGCCATGGCGATTTATTCTGTGAAGCTAGCTGCTCCAGACCAGGCTAACATCTGGATTAATCCTGGAGCTTCATCTGTTCAGTCAGCGATGAAAAACTGATGAGTTTTGTTTTCTTTTGTCTTTTTTATTACGCTGCATTAATTAATTTTGGTTTTCAGTCTAATATTGTTGTAACATCATGATGTTAAAATATATTATCAATTTTAAAAGCATCAGTGTGGATATCTTCCTGTTCTTTGGGTTTCTCTGTTCTAAGTTTGACATAAAGGCCTTTAATAGACCGTTGCAGTTTTTAGGGATTAGAGAAATGGGTCATAAAGAAACTCAGGTTTTGTAATCAAGTCCAGCCAAATTAGTTATAACAAACTTTACTGATGAATTTTAATGTAACTTAAAATAATATGTACAATGGAAATTAACTTTAAATACAATATTTAAAACAAATACTTTACATCACAAATACTTTACATCACAAATTTACCTTTTGTCTCCATTTTGGTGGCTGCAAATAATATACATTTTATAAACTTCTTTACAATTTATCTTCTGTCTTTTTGATTGTCATTAAGCTGCTTTTACTCTGACAGTTAAACAAGAAATTGTCCCTTCAGAACAAAAGCATCACAACTCAAACAGGAAGTTAACTGTAGGTGAAACTAATGAAGGATTTTCTAAGTTATTAGTATAATTATTTGCACATTGTTGTCAACATTTTAACCCCATACTTCCCAGAAACTAAATGTTCTTATTTATAATCTGTTGTTCATGTTTGTTCTGGATAAATAAGTTGTGGATCAGAAAAGAGTAACATGAATTAATCTGCTGCCAGATTCACTCGTTATATTAACTTCCACTGTTTGAAAGTTTAAAGTTTATTTGAGCAAAGGACAATAATGATTATGATTTTTTTATTATTAATGGTTTAGGAATGTATGTTTGGGCTAATTACACATTTAAATGAGCCGCTAACATTTGCTGTTGTAGCAGCAGTTTTTTTATTGATAAAAATTCAGTTCCTCCATCAACATGTTGGTTTGGTGTGAGGGATGGTGAACGCAGTTTATCTATTGTAGCATCAATAAATCTGTGATCGATCTCATTGATCTGATGAAATCTGTTGATGCGCCTGAATTATTTAAACCTGTATAATCATAAAATCACCTCCTGATCTTTGTGAAACTGAGATCCAGGATGAAACGACGGAGTTTTGTCAAACCGGCTTCATCTCTGATCCTGGATTTCAGAATCCGACTTTTGTGAAACAAAATCTGCACAAAAAAAAAAATCAAACTCTGAAACAAAAACACTTTCATCATAATTCATTTAATAACTCTGTGGCTCAGTTACACTTCTCAAAACATCATAAATAATAAAACTTTCTGTACAAGTTCAGGAAAATAAATTCATGAAGAGCCTCAGATAATTTAAACTATAAATTCTGTTCATAAAAACTGATTTGTAATGTTTTTATAAACTGAATGCATAGAGAGAATGTAAAGCTTTAAACATACAGAAACGGCGTCAGATTTTATATCTCCAACAGAAAAATGAAGAGGAAACGTCTTAAAATAACAAAAATATTCAGATTTTCACCTCATTACAGAGGAAACGGGACCAGCCATCAGGAAACACCGGAAACAGAAAAAACAAAAAAAGAATAAATTTCAGGGAAAAACTTAAAATCTCAGATTAAGTTCAGAAATTGAGATTAACCTCATGAATTTCCAAAGGGGAAAAAAAACTCAATTTCTGAAACTAATTTCATAAATATGAGTTTAAAAATTTTTATATTTCAGAGATTAATCACAGAATTTCAGTTTTTTCTAGAAATGTCCTTTTTGTTGTACGATTGCTCTGATAGCCGTCAGAAAAGTGAAAATTTGACCCATTTTTACAGAAATCTAGAAATAAGTTACTGTTCTGTTTTTGTAGAGTTCAGCTCCTTTAACTGAACTCCTTACTTTGACTAGACCTCAGGACTCAAGAATGATGCTGCAGATTTTCCAACGTTGCTCATAAAATTCCTTCCAGTTCATAACTTTTTAAAAACTCCAGCAGGAAGTTGGATTGAGGTCAGAAATGAAACCTTCTCGTTGTGCGTCTGTTTGCAGGACGGCGGGTCCAGATGAGAAGCTAATGTTTGTGTTTCTGTGCCGCTGGCAGCCTGGTCCGACTCTCGGCTCATTGAATAATTTATATTCCTAATAAAAACAGTTTCAGGTAAATGGATACTGGCAGGTTTGATTCAGTCAGGAAGTTTCAGCTGATGGATTTCAGTTTGGACCAGGGGTTCGTCCCGCGGACCTCCAGCGGCGGGTCGTTGGAGAAAATATGGTTGCAGAGCTCCTCCAGCGGCGGCTCGGGGTCAGAGGTCGCGAACTGAGCCGCCTCCTCCACCTCCTTACGGATCTGAATGTCAATTTCCTGAAACAGGAAAAGATTTTCATCGGTTCTTGCAGGTTTTTCATGTTTTCAGAGCATTTTTTCCAGTAAAACTGGAAACATGTTGCAAAATAAAAACGTTCTGAGCCGTTGAGGTTTCTGGATTTCAAAATTCCTGATTTTATGAGCAACAAAACGAAGCCGGTTCCTGTTTCTCCATCTACAGAAACGCAAAGTTACGCAGGAACTGAGCCAGAAAAGAAGAAACTTCACAGGAACCAATCGACCGACTGATTTCAGAGGATTAAAATAATCGACTAACTGATCAGCATCTCAATCCAGATGTTCTGCTGCTCTGGAGCCTCCAGATGTTTTAGCACAACGCCAAGGCGGGAAGCCAGCAGCAATCACCATAGACCAGAGCGACTGAATATGCACCAAAACATCAGGCTGTCTCACACAGTTGAAGGTCAGACATGCGCTCTGCCGCTGTGTTGGCAGAAAGGCTGATGTTGCTGAACTGACTTTTCTTTTCTGGACAAACTAAACTTGCAGCCTGTAATGTGCTTTTTTTATAAACTCGCCCTCTGAATGTTTTTCCCGCCTTAGCGATCATCTCACTAACCTTCGACTGCTGCAGCATTCTCTTTGGTTCCTTTCTTGAAGAAATCTTGTTGCCTCACCAGACGTGTTTTAAGGCTGGTAACCCGGTTGGCTCTCATCCCCCTGGTATTTTGCATATTCCTCAGCATGTTTAGTTGAATAATGATGTTTCAGGTGGTATTCTTTGTGCACTGCAACTTTTTCAGCATAACTAAGGCATGTCAGGATGCCCCTGTGCTCAACACAGAAATGCTGCGTCACCCATCTTTCTCTTCACTGCAGGCTTTGACAAAGACATGATGAGGGTGTGACAAAATTTAGCTTATTCCACTTGGCGTCGCTCTTGTTCTGTTTTATAAAAGTCTTTAGCCAGCTAGCAACGTATGGAGAACGTCTCGATGCGTGACGTCATCACCGCTTCTACTTGTCAAACAGGCGGTGGATGACGAGCAGCCCGGTAGCAGTCTCCTTTCTCTGCGTTTGATCCTGGCATTTATGGTAGAAAGAACCGGAATGGCGACTGCAGGGAAGGGAAACTGGTACCGGACTGGTCCATCATCAGCCGCTCTGTTGTTACAAGCGTAGTGTGCATGACGTCGGTGTAGCTTAGCCTAGCACCGAATGTCAGCCATGATGAGGAACGGTGGGCGGGACTTCCTTCAGAGGGCCGCTCACCCTGTGGGCCGCACTAATATTATACTGTCATATCATGGTGGGGCCACGAGAATGAGACCGTCTGCCTCTGGACGTCACTGGGACCTTGTTGCAATAATGTGACCCGCAAGACCAGAACAACGTTTATGAAAGTAAAAATGGCCGCCGTCGTCTATGCATGAATTTTAACGTTGCTTAGCAACAGAGGTTGACATCAGATCATAAGATGAAGGAAGCTAATAAAAGAAAGCCAAGTGTTGACTTATCTTTCTTGAATTATAACTTTTTCTCAGTATTACAGATTCTCATATTACTACAAGTTTTCTCATATTATTACAACTCAGGGTAAAAACATTGAAATTGAGCCACAGACTTGTGAAAAATTGGACACTTGAATTGGGACTATTACGATTTTTCCATGTTCTATGGTGTTAATAAAACTTGTCGCAGTGAAAAGGTTGTAACTCCATGGCAACCATCCCTACCTTCAGCTCCTCCACAGACGCCATGTTGTTGCTGAGCAGCCGCTCCTTCAGCAGGGAGATCGGGTCGCTCTTACTGCGGACCTCCTGGATCTCCTCCCGGGTCCGGTAGCTGCACAGCGGCACATGGTGAACAAAACAAACGGATTCTCTGTCTCATTACGGTGGATCTGGGACTCACCTGACGCCCGGGTCGCTCATGCTGTGTCCATGGTAACGGTAAGTTTGGAGCTCCATGATGATTGGCCCCTGGAAAACAAACAGGAAGTGATTTCACCGCGCCGGATTGCAGCAGCAGAAGAAGAAGAGCTTCGCTCACCTTCCCGGCTCTGCAGTGATCCGCAGCGAACTTCGCCGCCTCTCTGACGCACAGCACGTCCATCCCGTCCACCTGCGGAGAAAACGGCGTCACTAACGCAGCGTCCCACCCCGCGCCATCACGGCGAACCCGAGCGTTTCCCGGACGGTCTGTGTGCAGCATCATACATGAGCAGCGGACGGCTGGGCGCATGCTCACACCTGCAGCTGCCGGGACGGCGCCGCAGCGACGCGTCCCGATATAATCTAGGTCCAGAGGGCGGCGGCCGCGGCGTACGGCCCGACGCCACCGCCGCAACCCGGGACCCCATGCTAACACCGAGCTAACACCATGCTAGCCGCGCTGACGGCCCGGTGTTACGTCAATCCGCGTTTCCCCATCAGATACGGTTCCCCCTGAGTTTTCTTGCCGCTCCGCCCCGCCCAGGCGGCAAAATACGCGCGTGCTCGTGACGAGCACTGAGAAAGCACGCGCGTGGCAAGCACGCGCTTGTTCGGCGCGCTTGTCTGAGGAACTACGGACACCGTGAAAGCTCAAACAACATGTTTCGGCAAAGTTGTCACACTTTTTTCGCGTTTTGCGGGAAACTAATAATAATAATAATAATAATAATATAAGAAGAGGAAGAGTAATAATAATACAAAACGTATATATTATAATTATTTTAAATTTAAATATATGTTGAGCATTTATATATATATATATATATATATAATAAAAACAGGGCAATGCATTTTGATGCTCAATATTACCCATCAGATAACGTTCCCCTTGTTTTACAGTGGGGAACACTATCTGATGGCCATATTTCACCCATCAGATACCGTTCCCCCACTGTAAAACAGGGGGAACGCTATCTGATGGGTGAAATGTGGCCATCAGATACCGTTCCCCCACTGTAAAACAGGGGGAACCGTATCTGATGGGGAAATGCGGATTGACGTAACACCGGTCTGAGCCTCACCCTGAGTCCAGGGATGAAGTCGCCCCGCTTGTAGTAGTCGGTGCTGGCCGACGCCCGCTCCACCGACGTCCCCATGCCGTACTTGTTGTTCTCACAGACGAAGATGCAGGGCAGCTTCCAGAGGGCGGCCATGTTGAAGGTCTCAAACAGCTGGCCCTGATGACGTCACAGGATGTACAGGTTAAACCGACACTAAAATAATCCAGTAACTGAATTAACAGTTACATTAAGTTAACTGATAGTTTTCCTGTCAGTTATTCATCCGCCATCAGGTTTTAAACATGCATCCAGTTATTAGATCGATTTTCAGACATTTTTCTGCACCAAAAAACAATAAAAATGTATAAACATGTTTTTCACAGAGGATCTGTAAAAGGTGAAAACAAAGGCAAATTAAAAGGAAGGAAGAAAAACATTTAATTATGAGAATAATTGTAAAAATTTGTAGTAAAACAACTTCTCTCATATTACTACAACTTTTCCTGGATTATTACAGCCGTTTTCTCGTACGGCTTAATTGTAGTTTTATTATGACTTTTCCTCTCTTACAACTTAATTCTACGATTTTTCATGAATGGTTGTAAATACTTGTTCCTGTATGTATATTTCTGACGTCTTATGAACCAGATAAAAATCTATAAATTCAGGTTTGTGCATTAATTTCACGTTTTTCTTCTTTATACCTTTACAGTAAATTTAACAGGACCTTCATGACCTGAACTGAATAAAAACAGGAAGTAGTTTTCCCCTCACCTGGTTGGCGGCTCCGTCTCCGTACAGCGTCACACAGATCTGGTTGTTTCCTTGGTACTGGCAGGCCAGAGCGATGCCGGCGCCCAGCGGCACCTGGACGGGTCACACAGGTGACATCATCAGCCGGTGACATCATCAGACAGGTGGCGGAGCCTCATGCTAACGCCCTGCAGCTACCTGAGCGCCCACGATCCCGTTGCCGCCGTAGAAGTGAGGCGCGTACATGTGCATGGAGCCGCCCTTCCCTTTGGCCACACCCCCTCTGCGACCTGAACGGTGCGGAGGGAACACGGCGTCAGCCAGCAGAACCAGCCGGACCCGGGCCGGTCGGCACCTCGCCCGTCTCACCTGTGAGCTCGGCCAGGATCTCTCTGATGGAGACGCCGCGGGTGAAGGTGTATCCGTGCGCTCGGTACGCCGTGATCAGGTGATCCGACGGGTTGATGGCGGCTTCGATTCCTGCAGCGCACGCTTCCTGTGAGCAGAGACGACGTTACTCCAGAACCACTCGGCTTCAAAAACATCCCTCCCCTCATGGACTTTGACTAGGCCACTGCTAAACCACTGTAACAGAAAATGTGTTGATACCTGTCCGTCGTAGAGGTGGCAGAAACCCCGGATGATCTTCTGCTTGTAGAGCTGGTCGGCTTTCAGCTCCATGCGCCGCACCGTCTGCATGGTGCGGTAATACTGCAGGCCCTGCTCCCGCGTTAGCTCCGCCCTCACCGGAGGCCCCGCCTCCAGCCGGTGCACGTCGCATTTCTACAGCAGAGAAGAGACGTTTTCACAACACAATCTGTCCCACAAACGTTTAATTTGGTAAATTACAGGAGAGACCGAGGTCAGAGGGCGATTGGCTCCTTCTCACCTTGATGTCAAAGGTCGCCTGAGGCGTGAAGTCAGATAAGGAGCGGGAGGCGACGACTCTGGCGCCCTGAAACAGATCAACGCTCGATTAGCTCATCGGATGACGGCAGGATTACAAATCAGAGCAGACGGATCGACCAGCTGAGCAGCTCCAGGCTGCCTTCCTCTTCACAGTGGGGGGTTCTGGGATACGACAGACTGGGCTGGGCGGTCTGGGTTGGGCTGCAGCTACACATCCATAACGCTGAAGGCAGCAACAGGCCAGGAGAACCAATAAATCCTCCGCCTTCAGTTTCTGTCCAGTTTGTTGCAAATAATCTTCTGAGACGTAAATTTAATGGATTCATTATTCTAGAAAACTTTTAGAAAATAATTGACAAAAGTGGACATTCCGTTCGGTTCGGACCGTTCGGTTCCTCCAGCTTTCAGTGGCCTAAAAATATGAAACTAATAATGACTGATAAGAGATCTGATTGGTTTGAAATATCCTTCCTATTTCCACCTCAAGTCTAAAATAATTTAGCCTAAAAATCCTTTTTTCCTTCAACACAGTGACTGTTGTGACATTAATGTGATCTCTAGCGCCCCCAGCAGGTACAGGATGGTTTTAATCAACTTTCCTCTTCAGCCTTTAATCTGATCGTTTGCTCTGGAAACCAATTTAGTCCCAACAGAACCGAACCGATTCTGGCAGATATTTGGGCTTCGTGTTACACTTTTCATTAAATGACAATAAATTTTAAAACCTAAGATGCCATTAAGTAAATAAAACCCGTTTAAAGTATTTAGTGGTTTCAGACCAGCAGGGTTAATATTTTAGTACTAAATGTTTCCAGTCAAGCAGAAGCTCTTTGGTTCCCCGGCCCGGTTAGTGAGCAGCCAGACAGAACAGGAACAGCAGGAGGTTCTTACGGGTCGGTCCGTCTGGTCCGTCCGGCTGCTCACTAACTGGGCGGCGCCGCCTGCTGGTGGTGGTTTGGGTGGGAGCCGCCGGGCCTGTGGGGGAACGGCCGCCGCCGCTGGAGGAGACGTCAGATTGACGAATTCTGACAGGCCAATCAGCAGCTGGGGAACACAGAGCCAACCAATCAGAGCCAAGCACAGCCAGGTGGCGCTAGAGGCTACAGGTGAGGAAACTGGAGGCTAAAACTGAGAAACAGAATCTAGACTGGGAGCACAAACAAATTCATTTATAGTTCAGCCAATCTCTGATATTTAACCTGTAATCTTCACTAATCTCATCTTTGAATTAACAAATAAAAAACCTCAAATTTAAGCATCATTTTACAAAATACTGCAATTATGTCTTTTATTCTGCCCATCACTCTGACCAGCAGCATTCTGGGTAATCTCATTTGTGTCTAGCATATTCTTCTGACCACTTGGCTAAATATCTGACACAAATATTAAACAACAAAATATGGAGCAGCTTTATGTGATCATATAATTAAAGGTTTTATATTATATTTTAGGTTTTCTGGTTGTCAAAAAAGCGATTTCAGCCAAAAGATGGAAACAAATGAATAATGCAAACTCAAACGTAAACAACAAATGTAGCACAAATGCTTTAATCACAAAAAATGCTGCACCTTCAGAAAATAAAAATGCAGCAAATACTAAAAGTGAACATAAAACACTGTAACCCCGCTCCATAAAACCAGAAGTCCTCCAGACCACCAGGGGGAGTCGATCATCAGATCATCTGGGACCAAACTCTCAGCAAAGACGAGACGTCCAGAAGAAAAGCTGGTTTATACTTCATGTCTTTTACTTAGATAATTACTGACTCTAGACTCCCCCTACTGGTCTGGAGGACTTTATGTTGTCGAGTGTTATCAGTGTTATATACTTGTTTTTGAGGCATTTTCTTTTTCCAGAGGATGTAGCATTTTTCTTTTGTGCTTATTTTAATGATTGTAGGTTTTAGCTTTTATTTTTTGATTGTAGAATCCAAAATCTCCCAAAACATAGAAAACCTGTTTTAAACTCTATTAACAGACATTTATAATATAATAAAAATACTGACATTAATAAAATGCCAGTAGATTCAATTAGAGCAATTATTTCTACTAAAAATAATTGAAAACATTTTTATCATTACTTATGTTTAAAAATGATGTTTAGTTAATTATTTTTCACATAGTAATTTCATGAAACAAGTCAATCTTTTTTTTTTAGGGGTGCACTGATTTATTATTTTTATTCTTATGACTTAAGGACTAAAACCAGTTTCAGTCCCTCTGTAGTGCCGCTGAGTTAAATCCTGGAAACTAAACATGAACACAGCGAAGAGGAAGCACATCTAGCAGTTAGAGGAATAAAAACAGTGGAGATAAACCTGGTCACTGCAGAGGGGAGGAAGTCTGGGACCAAACGTCAGCAGCTGCTTACCTCCGACACGGTTTGCTCTCCCTACGGTTCAGGTGCAGGGGTGGGGGAGGAAGGGGAGGAAGAGGAGGGAGAGAAGCAACAAATGAATGGGGGATTGTTGAGTTTGTGAAGACTGAAGGCGGCAGAGCAGGAGGAGAGAAAACTGGAGGAAAAAAGCAACAGTTCCTACAGTCAGACTCTGTTTGTTTGGGTTTTAAGGTTCAAAGGTCAAATTTACCATCAGAATTAAACCCGACTGACATTTGGGTTCATTTCCAGAGTCTGTAGGAACCTGCTGTCCTTGAACGCCCCACAAGATTAACCTTTACATGCTGCGTTCAGGTTCACTACTGACAGAGATGCACTGGTTGTGTGGAATGTTATTTCTTCATAACTTCCAAATAATCAGCCAAACAGCTTCATTAGCAGCTTACTGGGGTCATTTCCATTTGGATGAATATTAAACATGTCACTAGTGAATCAGACATATTTAAGTTTCTAAACTTAAAACTTTAAAAACTCTTGTAGTTCTTTTCTCTACTAATCCAGAGCTGAAAACTCCTAAAAAAATTAAATCTGTACAGAGTAGGAGTCCTGTTTAATAAATGATCTCATCTGGAAGAGTTTATAATAATGAAGCAGCTCAGGATGAAGATAGCTAGGTTTTATAAAAACACTTCATTATTCAGTTAGGCATTCAGAGCTTCGTCTGATTAAGACGATGGCAAGAGATAATTTCCTTTAAGTAAATTTCCTTTGTTAAAAGAAGATTATGTGATTCAGAGATGAAAATTGCTTCAACCTCCTGAAAGCTTAGCTGCATTTTGAGCAAGAAGCGCGTCACCGATGGTTATCAGAGCATCTTTATCAGGACAAGCTGCTTAGAGGAAGGCAAACCACCACAAACACAGAAAATTATTCACATTACAGACAGGGGAAAAACTAAAAATCATAATAAAGAACCCACCAAGTTACCCTGACATAAAGTACATCCAAACACGTGTTCAGAAAGCAATATCCGAGCAGAAATAGCACATAACCACAGGAAGACATTAGCGGCTGCTGACAAGGTCAGCTACCGGTTAGCATGAACCGGTTCCATCCGGAACCTCCGAACTAGAGTCGAACCACTCACCGCACTCCTCCCGGTGATCCGGCACAGTGCGTTAGAAATGATCGCTAACATGGTTTTCATCCTACTGAAGGACGAGGTGACTGCTGAGAGGATTAACTGCTGCTGCTAGCGGCTAAAGTCCGCGCTCATAACGTCCGACTGGAAACGGCAGGCTTTAAATAAAGGTTCCCATCTAAATAAAGCGGGAAAACAATTTACAGGTGCTGGTCATAAAATTAGAATATTGTGATAAAGTTCATTATTTTCCATAATGTCATGATAAAANCCGTGACAGATCCGGGGACGTCATTTGAGATATCGTCAAATGGCATTAAAGATTTTCATTATTATTTTTACTAGTTAGGATATATTGCGGAAATCTTAAAGTTCCACTCCGGATGGCCAAACGTAGATGTGTAAAGTTAAAAAGCATTTTCTGCAATCAGAAGAAACTGATTAAATGTTAAAAAGGCTTGCCACAGCCACCGATGCTTCAACTTTCTGTTTCGCAGGTATCTCGATTAAAGGAGGTGAAAAGGATCTTCCGACATCAGGTTTAACTCTTTTCCTGGACGTCTTAAATATCCGGACTTGGAATCTTAATCTGACCCACGAACTAATCAGCGTTTGTAGTGGAATAATGAACTATTTCATTCTTAACTAACGAAATGAAGACCAAGGTGAAAATAACGTTGTTGTTCTTATTGCTGTGTGGTAAGTTAAATTATTTTCTCATCGGAAATATAAGTTAAAACATATACACTAAGCAGCTTATTAAGACAGATGTTTGCATTAGAATAACAGCAATAGTAACAAAAAAATATTTATTTTGTAGGGAGAAATAAAGCTCTTCGTAATGCCTCCGTTTGTTTGGAAGATTTTTAAAGCAGCATTTATGAAAACGTCCGGAAGACGTTCAAGAACGTTCAAACAACATTCGGAAGTATGCACAGAAGTGAAAAATAAAAAATTGATAAAAAATAATAAAAGTCATAAAAGTTTTAAAGATATAAAAAATAAATAAAGTGAAATTACAACAAAAAAAGAAAATGAATTGGGAACGAATGTTCAGAGTGAATGTTCAGACAACGTTTGCTGAACGTCAGGTCCGAACATTCGACGTTCGACTTTCAGACTACGTTCACGGACGTACTCCGAACATTTTCTTGCTAGCTTGGAGCAGTTTTAAAGTCGAATTAAACCTGCACATTGTTTCCTATCTAAACTAGGGAGTTTATAACATGTATAAAAAGAAACGGTGTAATAAATCATCTTGTAATAAACAACAGGCTTTAGGCCGACTGCTCAAAACAATATTGTCGAAAATGAGGTGAAAAATCTCCCTCATTTCAGCAAGCCATTTAATTATGACAGTTTATAGTATATGGATTTAAACTTAATAACACCAGTATGTTATATCTATACATGATATAGATTTACAAAAAAAAAGGGCATTGAGTTTTTACACATTTTATATTTCTACTGTGAAAAAGCATAAAAGATAATGGTTACGTGAACTGGGAGCTCTGAGTGGGACTTGTTTTCTCTTCCTCTCCAAAACCCAGTTGTTTTCTAAGCAGTGGACAACTTAGAAATGTGCTTATTTGCACTACTTTCAAGTAGTAGTTGTCGCTGACGGTACCTATTAACATTCAGAAATAACCACCAGCATTTATTCCTGGTCGACTGTCATATGAATTAATTCAGACTGGGAGTCGCAGAAATTGAGTCAAATCTTTCTCTTTTGACAGGTCTGTGGTAAAGTCGGTTTATCACAGACAAATTTATCTGTTTGTCTGTAGAAGCTTGTAACATCTATTAGATAATTTTTCATAAGGGCAAGTAGCACAGGCAATATTATGCAGCACTTTTACAGTTGCTGTAAACTGTTTAATAAAACAAAATATGTCACCTATTGAATTGATATTTTGAGATCGTTTGTGCATACGACCCAGTAGCATTAAGTATAGTACAGCAACATTGATTATATCTAGGGTTTTTATTAGTTTTAGTGTTTTTTTTCTATAATTTTTCCTACATTGATAGCTTACTACTAAGACTTGAACTGTTGCCTGGTTTTGGATCACAAAGAACCAAGAAACTTGGTTTGCTTGCACAGTGTCACATTCTCAGGAGATGACTTTATTGTGCCATACCCTGTCAAGTTCACTTAATATAAGTGTTTTGAATAAATAAAATTGTTTTTTCACTTAAATGTACTGATTTACTAGACTTTTATGTTTATATTTAATTATTATCCTCTTTTTTTAAAGGCTCTTGTTACTACGTTTTTACAAAAGAAAGAAGATCATCAACTGAACATGGTGAGTTTCATCTTCTCATCTGCAGACTCTTCTGATTGGTTTTGTTGATGTAAGTCACATGGCGACTCAATTTAACAAAGTCTAGTTTTCACAGATCATCTGTGAGATCAGTTCATATTGATTAATGCACAGAGAGACATTTTGAATTTTGTGTAAATCCTTACATAATTTGGTGGGTTATTGTTGAAAAGTGGTGCACTTTAGATAAAGTATCATCAAGAGCATTCTGTGGTCAACTACCTCTGCACAGCACAGCCCACTGCTGTAGAGTTGCTGACATAGGTATGTTACTATGCTCTTCACCCACTGCTTCCCTAGGATAGTGGAATGGGTCACACTGGCTCAGTGTTGTAAGTAGTGAAATGTCAAAGTATTTGCTTATATTTTGCGTGCTAAAATAGGCCTCACTGAGAGAGAATGTTGTATTATCTGTCATATACACAGTTCAATTCAACACTTTTAAGTTGCTTAGCATTTTTATTTTCTTACCTTCTTTTGCATACCTTTAAAGATAAAACTAAGTCTTAAACTGGCATTTGAGCATTTAGATAAGTGGGGTCAAACTCCAGTCCTCCACAGTCCTGCAGTGTTTAGATGTGCCAGAGGTACAAAACACTGGAATAAAATGGCTCAATTACCTTCTCCTTGTGTAGATCAGTTCTCTAGAGCCTTAATGACCTAATTATTCTATTCAGGTGATGCAGCAGAGTCACATCTAAAAGTTGCAGGACAGTGGCTGGCCCTTGAGGACTTCAGTTTGACACCTGTGATTTAGAATATTGTTTATATTGTTTATATATCTGTTCTATAATGTGATTTTTTTTAATGAATGTCTGAATTCTAATGTTCCTTTTCTCTCTCTGTCCACTTTTTTCCCAGATCAAAGCAGTAAAGGAGTTTCATGCCCCAGGATGCCAATGACGTTTGAGGATGTTAAACCAGTGATAACAGTGATTGGGAGAAATATCACTTTGCGATGTGTCACAAACTTTACTTTACTTTTCCATGATATTTTGGAATGGATTAAAGGCAATGACGATATCTTAGTTGTAAAAGATAGAAAAGTCCACCAAAACATTGATAAAATCAGATTCTCCCTAGCAGCTTCTATCAAAGGACTTAAAAGACGCATCGCATCGCTCAACATTTCACATGTGAAGTACACAGATAGTGGAAGTTACTGCTGCTGTATTAGAAATATTACAACGGTACGACAATGCATCAACCACATTGTTGGTAAGAATTTAACACCATATAAACACAACAAATATATGCTTGTCTTGAAAAACATAGGTGACATGTAACATGTGTCACCTAAAAATCATAATAGTAAATATGCTTGAACAACAAGTGCATTTAAACAAATAAAAGAATTAACTGTATATGTGAACAAATGCTGTTAAATAAATACAACTGTTTTTAAAAAGGTAGTGTATGAAGATTGTTCAAAAGTAAAATAATGTGTTTCTGTTTTGTGTGAAAAATGATGGTGTACTTCTAACTTTGATTTCTGGTTTGTGTAATTTTGCTTTACAGTTGTGGAGAATGAATCATTTATAACAGAAGGTCAGATAAATCAGTTACTACAAATACAATAGTATAACTATGATCAATATCCTAGTTTATTTATGGATCTTTACTGTTTCACTATTATTAAACTCAGAAGATGAAAAATATTGACATCTAATTTCAGAAGCAAATCTATAATATAACACCAGTAAAATATGTATTCATGTTATTTCTAGTATTTAAGTGTTATTCTCTTTTATGTTGTTGCAAATTAGATTCAGTTAAACACGTAAAGGTGGATCCATCACATTTCCCCACGACACCCTCACCTCAGAATGGTAAGCAGCATTTCCAATCAAGTATTTTAAAATGTTTTTTACATTGTCCGTACGACTTGCATGAAGTGTAGACTTTTGTTCACTGGCTCTAACAGTACCTTTTTTTTATTTCAGAGACCAATTATTGGCTATTGATTAGCGCTCCTGTTGCTGTTGTTGGTGTTGGTGTTGGTGTTGGTGTTCTTTGTTTCATTGCATATTTATTACGCAGGAAATGTAATAAATATGTACCTGTACCTACCTGCTGTAGGAAAGGTAAGTAATGTTGTTGCCTCACAATAATTTAAAATTTAGTAAATTTAAGTACTGTAGTAGTTGGTATTCTATTATTTTACTGTCTATAATTGTATAGTGAGCAATTATTTTTGTTTACTATACTCGCAATGAACAAATATTTCACCTCACCTCATATGCCCATAGATTATTAATTCAAACCTGTTAGCAACATATTGTCTGTTTTACAGGAAAAAGAAAAAGTAGTGACTCACATGCCCATGAGTTATCATCACTATCAGAAAATCGAAGCAGTGACAAGGAAAGGAGGTCTACTAAAGAACATGTTGTATAAAATGGTAACGCCACAAATCCTGCTGTGGTTGGAGCGCCACCACACTGTTGATGAAAAGAGGAAATTATTTCAACCCCCCAAAACCAAAGCATCAGTTCATTTTCCCTAGACTGTCTTCTTGTTCAAACTGTTTTTTTAAGCATAAAAACATAGAACGAAACTCTCTACTTAAATTTGTTGATTTTTTTAATGAATTTTATTACAGAAAATTTGCTGCTCTTTTTTAAGGTCTTAATTGTGACTTGTTCATGTTAAGCAATGCCTTATCATACTTAAATAATAAGCCCCTAAGTAAAAAGGTTTGTTCATTGTGAATGATCAGAGATCATCATTAAATTCATTACTGTTATCCTTATTATCACCATGGGCAAATTTGTATTTACAAATCTATTTGCTTTGCCCCCTAAATTTTGTGTATTTTTATGTTTTGATGCAAATGTGATAAAACAAGTACTCTCTCTGTTTCCCTTAACCTTTTGATAATAATTTCTCCTGCTCTTTTGTGGTGTATATACTTATATATTATTTGGGACTTTGTTAGATATTGTTCTTTCTGCTGAAATGAGCCATTATAATTTTCTGGGTAAATCTAAATGTTGAAAAAGGGGTTGTTAAGAGAATAAAATCATCAACTTCTGGCTCATTATTTTCGCTTCTGCTCCCGGATTCAATGATTCCATGTGTGGAAACAAAAGCCAAACAGCGATGACAGTCAGAACTCCACGTCTTACATTTTCAGAGTTTATTCTAACGTTTAAAAGTATAAAATCACATCAACAACACAGACATTTCAAACACATTAAAACAGACATTCATTTACCTGAGATAAATGGAAAAGAAGACGAAGGAAAGACGTCTTTGGAGAAATTGCAAAGGACAAAATCTAATTTGTTACTCTGTGTACAAACGTTATCCTCTTGTATTTAATTTATTCAAATAAGGCGTATCTTTGCTCATCCAACCAGGAGCTATCTCTGACCCTCTCTCTAAAGCCATTTGCCCCATTGTCTAAATAAAGTGGAACCAGAGGTTCTCCGAACCCCTGCTGGTTTTTAACAGATCAGTGTGAAAAGCTGGAACCTCCAATGACTGTTTCCCAGACAGACAAAGGGCAGTTCAAAGATCTTAGCAAATGATCTGCTGTAACTACAAGTAAAATAGTTACTTTTACTTGTAACTATTTACAAGTAAATAGTTGTAAATATTAAGAATTAATTAACTTATTAATTCTTACTAGAATTAATAAGTTATTCATTCTAAAACTATAATTAGGCTATTTCAATCAAGACATGTTAAGTTTTAAAACTAGCTTATTTTAAATTTATTTTATTAACAGGGTACATAATATAAAACCATGTCATAATATAGCACAATGTTTATAAAATAATTTGTCAGTTTATATTATATTCATTTTTGTATGACCATCACCTGTTAGATGAATATCAGTGAAAGTAATGCAAGTCTAGTTTTTTTTTTTTTTTGTTATAGAATAAAACCACTCAGCTCAGTGGAGAATAAGTACACATTGCTTTCTACCAGCTTTACATTGTAATCTTTATTTTTTATCTGTGTGTGTCTACATTAATGGACGATTACTGGAATTCATTTCAAAGACTTTTAGTAACAGTGAGTGTAATTTTACTAAGCTCAAAACAGACATTGTAACAGATACTTTAAACTCTTCAGGATTGTTTCTTTGTTGTTGGTTTTGTCTTTAGTTGGGTTGGAATGATGCATGACAGGTTTACAGCCATCAGGTGTGGCAGCTTTACTTCCAGTTGTTTCATTACCAGGCTTAATGTCTCTGTAATCTCAGTGTTTTGATTTGGATAAGTGGTTAATCGTGAGGCTAAGAGGCAGAGAATGTAGATTAAAGAAAACTAACACCTTAAATATTTTTTAACTAAGCATACACTGAAAAATTTTATTAACACATATTATGATATTCCTTAAGTAGTGACATAAAACAACTGGAAGAATAAAATTAGTAAGATAACATAATTACACATCAGTAGTGATGTAACTTATTTAATTATCTGACTTATTTCTCCCCCATGGTTAGAATTTGTGGTTGTGTTTTGAATTATGTTTTTATATGTATTAAATGTATATTTTTGGGGACTTTTCTGTCAAATGTTTTTGTTCTTTGTGTCGCATCAGGTAATCTGAGTAAAACTATTTTATTTGGTTCTTAAATTAGTTTTGCCAGCGCTGAGGATGCATGCCCTGGAGCGAGGAAATACTAGGAAAGATAAAATAGTTCAGTTTAGGATGAGCGCTTTCGAAAAACAAAGCATATGAGTGTATAAACACATCTGTGTACACATGTCTGACTGTGGGCATGTATGCACGAGTTGAATTTTCTTGAATGGCCACTATTGTTATATGGGGTAAATGTCTCAAGTATTAGTAGGTGAGAGTTACTCTCACACATTCATTAAACTTAGAAATATAAAGAGATGTAAAGAAAATGAACAGTTTTTCATAATCTAACACTTTCAGAAACATTAATCTGACCTTATCTATGCTGCTTCAGCAAGTAGTTTATGTCTAAAGAGAAAGTATCTGCAGAACAAAGAGCGATTATTTAACTTGTCAAAGCAACAACAGGTTGGACAGGTTTGACATGAGCAGTCACAGTCCTCATGTTGATCCCAGAAGAAAGGAGAGCAAAGAAATCAAGGATGTGGATTTGGACTCAGATCAATTTCCACTTGAGAGAGTACTTGGTTTACAGTGGTACAGATAAACAGATAAAGCATTGATCATTTCTCTGATGCAAGTCAAGATGGCTACAGAACAGTATTCTATTTAAAAAAGGAAAATAATAACTTACATGTTACTTTCATCCTAGGAAAGTCTAGAGTCGCCCCTCCTAAGAAAACTACAATCCCCAGACTGGAACTGACTGCTGCAGTTTGCAATCCAAGTGAACAAACTGCTGCAAAAAGAGCTGCAAATAAAGATGGAAAAACATGTTTTCTGGACTGATAGTACAACAATACGAAAATACATCTCCAAGGAAACCAGAAGATTTCACACCTTTATTGCAAAAAGAATTTCTGTCATTCGAGAAGCAACACATGTGAATCAGTGGAGACACATGATATTTATGAATTATTACATTTTATGTTGGTTATATTAGTGAAAATACAGGTTTTATACTCAGCAACAATTGTTGCCGGTGGGAAACAGCATAGTCTGAATGACACAAACATGGCATCTTTGTACATATGAAAAAATAAGGAAAATCAATAACAAAGCATGGTTACAAGAGTGTTCAGAAATATTTTAAATGCGTAAAGATTAAATGTCACTTCCAGCAGATGTCATTGTCTCAATGTGCCAAGCGACCTTTGACCTCATTTAGTTATTTAATCAAAGAGACAAAATCAGGTGAAAATGTTAGTATGAACAAATGTGCATCTGAGAGGATGTTGTCCCGGTTCCACCAGACCAAGCACAAGACCTGGGCTCTGTCCTAAACTAGTTTCAGGCGTAGCGTCATCATCATTCAGTGCATCGGAAACACTTTGTGGTAAGGATCGCTTTTTGGGGGGGTGGAACAGGGGGAGGTTTCAACACTGGGATGTTGAAGACATCGTTTTGAGGTTCCTTCAGGTCTAGAAGATCTAAAATATCTGATAGTTTTAAGCTGCCTGTGAAAAGCGAGGCGTATAGAATAAACAGTAAACCTATGGACACATATATACTGCTGTCTATGTGTTATGCTTATGTATTGTTGCCACACTTACATTCATTCACTCTTCTTATGATTAAAAGATGAATAAATTGATAAAATTTTCTCTATATACTGTATCAGTAGAAGACACTTGTAAGAACATATGTACAAAATATTTTATTTATATTTATTTAAATATTTTACCGACTAATGCAATTAAAGATAAATTAAAGTAGATGCACAAATAGTTGAATATGTGGCTTCAGTGAATTGGTTTGTTTTATTCTGTTTGTCCTGCTGATAACAGGACAAACAGGTTGACTGACAAAACTGCTGCTCTGCTTCCTGCTTCATCTGAAACTCATTTGCATGTGTACAGTCAAAACATCTCAGGTCTGAAAGCATATATCGAACTTGGATAGAATAATATATTTTTGAAAATACAATGTTTTCAATCGCAATGATCACAATTTCTCAGCTGATATTATGCAACATGTAAAAACATTCATTGATACAACATGCAAAGAGTAAAAAACACTGAAATAAATGACAATCTTTTTCTAACAGTTTTTTCTTTTGCTTTAGAGGAAAAGGTTCACCAGTAATTTAAAGATCTAAAGTATGTAAACCAAGTTCTCCTGTTCAGGGTTGCTAAGTATAATCTGGTCTAAACATTTCTGGGTTGTGCATTTATGATACATTAAGACAGATCACCAACATCCATGTCTTATAAAAATGTTCCCCTTTGGGTTTTTTTTAATTCAAAAATATTCAGACTTAAAATTCCCACTACATGGCTCCCTCCAGCTGAGCTGCATAGTAGAAGTCCATCAGAACACATATCAGATTCTGTTAGACATCAGATATATTATTTACAAAAGTAAAAAAATCAGAAAAACATGCCTCTTACTATAAATATGGCTTTTTAGTATTCTGTTTACCTACTGTAGGTTCTTACAACCACCTTTTAATTCCAGTTAAAAAAAATCCTGCATTGATGAGCTTTTACATTTCCTATTGGAATTATAAAGAAATTGAAACAGAATTGCCCTTTCATTTTGCTTCACTTTCTATTTTCAGTAAGTGATAAATTTGTAATTTTCTTCATCTTTACTTATGTTAGCAAATGACCCCTGAGGACATGTAACTAATTACAAGGATGCTTTTAAAAAAAAAATTATTTTTTTTTTTTTTTTTTTGTATATTCACTTGTATAGTGATGTACGTAGAAATATTCAGGTCATTTGTTCCTATGTGAATGTGTCTGTAGGAGTTTTAAGGAGTGAATAATAAATATACATCACTACTGGGGGCTGGACATGGAAGAAAGGATGAACTAGTGAATTCACTGTTGAGCCATAAACTGAAAACGAGACAGAAAGTTTTCAAAATCATAATAAAACACTCAACATTTTTTTACATTTTTGTAATAAGAGTGTGAGCGTTAAAATAAGTTTCATTTACAGAAATTAAAAACCTTTGTAGTTAAAAGCTGGGGATCAAGTCAGTCAACTTTTGCATGTATTAGAAAAATATGTAAGACCCAAAAGTGAACAAAAGCTGAGGAAGGGATGCTAAACAATAGCAGAAGTTAAGCGTGTGAAATGTTCTTTTTAACATACAAAGGCTCTTACATCCTTTTTTATAATCTCAAGATGGCCCCAAAATGGTCTCTTTGATCCAATATCAACTGTTGGGTTTATGTTATGCAAGGTTTTTTTTTTCTAATCATGGTCCATAGCTCTATACATGCATCAGTTTTCATAACAACACATGCAGAGGCTGAATAGACTTCAGCTTAGGGGGAATGATTCATCCATTTTGGTTTGGTTGGTTTTGTCCTGGGTCCAATAAAACTCCATCATACTCTTGTTGGTTTCCTGTGTGATCTATGAAACACAAAACAGAAACTTTTCAGTAACATTGTCTTCCTTTGTTTGATGTTCTAAAGTTACATTACTACTAAGATGACCTCTTCAGCAGCTTTGACTCTCTGAAATGATTTGCCTTTCATTTGTTTCCAGATGCTTGTTGACACAAAGAGGACAATCCAGACACCAAGAAAATTAAAAAATAAAGATGTAAACAATCATATTAAATTGAATATGTAATCTATATTCACATGAAGCTTGTTTGTCAGATTAAAAGCACTTTTTGAATATAACTTCTATGAAGGAATAAGACACGTCTTTCCTTAAGCTCTAATTTCTGTATTTATGTTCTTATTGATGTAATTATAATCTTAAACATGTTTTCATTAGCTATAAGCTTCTCTGTTGTGGAAGAAAAGACAACAAAGACATAATCTGAGTTATGTGTTTATAATTTTTATGCAGTTTACCTGTAAGTTTATTTATAAATGTTTTAAAATGACTGTTGTTTTTGTCTCCTTGATTCTTCAGTCTTGTCTAGACCTCTGCTACCTTAACAGCCATTTTGCCTTCAATGCAGGTAAACTATTTTTTGAAAGTGTTTTTTTTATAATGGGAGATTCTTTATATAAAAAATTATGTGGAAAAAAAAACATGACCACAATATTCCTTATCGGCGTCATTATTTGTGGACATATTATAAAATATCTAGGAAAAGCTGC